GGGAACTACTACAAATCAGTAATAAAAAGACAAACACCCCCACAGAAAAATGAGCAACAAACGTGAACAGGCATTTCACAGGAAAGAAAACTCAAGTGGCAGATAAAAAATAGAAAAATAAACTAAACCATATGGTCATTAGGAGACTGCCAATCAGAACTACAAGTTTTCATTTTAACACAGATTTTTACCTGGCATGGCAGAGACCAAGTTGGATAACACAGACTTCTTGAGGATGTGGATGGAAAGTAACTCTTTTGTTGCTGGTGGGATTATAAATTAAAACCACCATTTCAAAAAATTGGTTGTCACTTCATTCATCTGAACATTTGCACACTCTATGATTCTGCAGTCCCCTCCACACGCACACCCTCCTCCACACGCACACCCTCCGGTGGCTTTAACTCAGGTGCACCAAGAATCATGCAGAATATTCACTGCAGTACTTCCCATGAAAGCAACTAAATGTCCATGTATAAAGACTCAGGAACACATTATGTTACACCAAATGTCTACGTATAAAGATAGCATGAACACATTCTGTTACAGCCGCATAATAGGATATTACACAGCAATCACAACCAACCAACCACAGCCAAACAAAAGCATATGGGTGAGATGCGGATGCACAATGATTAGTGCAACAGCCATCACTGAAGAATATATATGACGCTATTTTTATAAACCTCAGAAACAAGCCAAACTAAACAATATCTGTGTGTATGTATATGTATGTATATATGTGTGTATGTATGTGTGTGTGTGTGTGTGTGTGTGTATGTACATATATATTACTCTTTCCTGTAGAAAAGGAACATGATCAATACCAGGGTGAGGTTAGTGGATCCTCTGGTGGGGAAGCAAAGGGCACAGTGGGATGGGGAGCTCTCCAGCGGTCATTGTGATGTTGGTGACACCCTGGATTTCAGGTGAGCTGATGGGCTCATCTGATACGTTACACACAGTCTGCTCTGTACTGTATGGGGAGCCCGGAAGCTGGAAACCCTGGAGGAAAGTGGCCACACTTGGCACCTGGCCAGGCCTGAGGACCCAGGGCTTTGAAAGACGCTAGGCCAGGGAGACTGTGAGGGATGGCAGGATGGAGATAGGGGCCAAGGAAACAGAGGCGGGGGTCAGAGAACACGGGCGTTCCACACTGCTCCTTGAAAGGTCTGAGTCCATGAGGCCTTTGTGATACTCAGAGAAAGGAGGCAAGGCAAATGACAACGGCAGTCCTCTGACTCCAGACCGCATTGTTAAGTTGGTCTGATTGAAGTGAAACAGCATTGCCGTCTGCCATGCCCTTGGTCCACAGAAGAGAGGCAGGTGCAGCTGCTCTGCGGGCCAGTGGGAGGGTGGGATGTCTGTGTGGGGATGACCAGACAGGACTGCCCCGGTCTCAGCTGCAGAGCCTCCTGGCCCAGACCTTGCCCTGCACAGAGAAGGCCCGCAAGACTGCACTCCCTGCTGCTCTGCCTACAAAAGGTTGTCAGGGAACTCCCGCTGAGACAGAATAGACCTGCTTTTGTTTTGCTCTAGACTGTGGTGGCTCCAAGTTATGCCAAAAAGAAACCACGTCAGTCACAGAGAGCCCACAGTTCAGCGCCAGCAGCTTCTTTCGCTGGTGAAAGCAGCAAGGCCAGCAGAAGTGATACCCTGTCAGGATTGAGTCTTCCTTTTAGCAGGACACTTTAATACCCTGGGCCTAATGGACCAATTCTTACCCAGTGTTTTTCACTGGTTTCCTTGCCATTTTCCCCCAGCAACGTGCATCCCAGCTGCATCTCAGGAGAGACGGAGGAAGGTTCCTCCTCACATGCATCACAGCTGCAACCCAGGTGAGGTGGAGGAAGGTCTGGGATCTTTTGCATCACAGCTGCGGCCCAGGTGAGGTGGAGGAAGGCCCTGCTCATGTTGCCCTCACCACTGCCTGCTGAGGGAGCGAGTTTTGGGGAGTGATATCTTGAGCCACCTCCACTTGATCTCCTGGGAGGGCTCATTCGTTCAGGTCCATGGACATTTTAAAGAGCTCCCTGTGTGATCGTGAGGTATACTGAAGTTTAAGAACCACTACTGGCCGGGCGCGGTGGCTCAAGCCTGTAATCCCAGCACTTTGGGAGGCCGAGGCGGGTGGATCACGAGGTCAGGAGATCGAGACCATCCTGGCTAACATGGTGAAACCCCGTCTCTACTAAAAATACAAAAAACTAGCCGGGCGTGGTGGCGGGCGCCTGTAGTCCCAGCTACTCGGAGGCTGAGGCAGGAGAATGGCGTGAACCTGGGAGGCGGAGCTTGCAGTGAGCCGAGATCGCGCCACTGCACTCCAGTCTGGGTGACACAGCGCGAGACTCCGTCTCAAAAAAAAAAAAAAAAAAAAGAACCACTACTTTAGGAGGTTTGTGCTATTTTAAGGCCAACATTCATGCTCTATTTTATGTTCTATAACTGTGAATTTTATACTTTGGATTTTCTGAAAGAAGGGCATGTGTTATGTTGTTTATTAATATACTAAAAATATCAGAATAAAAACAACACGGGGAAATGGCTGCTTTAAATGTGTAAGATGCCCACCCCAACACACCGCCACAGGCATATCTCAGAGAGGCTGCTGCTGCGGCTCCGGACCATGGCAATAAAGTGAATATCACAATAAAGCAAGTCACATAAATCGCTATGGTTTCCCGGTGCTTTATAAAATTATGTTTACACTATACTGTAGTCTTATTAAGTGTGAAATACCATTATGTCTTAAAAAATGCACATGCCTTAACTGAAAAGTAATTTATCACTAAAAACTGCTGACGATCGTCTGCCCCTTCAGTGAGTCCGAATTTTTTGCTGCTGGAGGGGTCTTACCTCAGTGCTGACGCTGCTGACTGACCAGGCTGGTGGCGGCTGACGGCTGGGGTGGCTGTGACCATTTTTAAAAATAGGACAGCAATGAACTTTGTTGTGTGGATGAACTCTTCCTTCCACGGAGTGTGTGATGCTGCTGGGTAGCGTTTTACCCACAGCAGAGTTCTGTTCAGAATCGGAGTTAATCCGCTCACACCCTGCCACCACTTTATCAACTCGTTTATGGAATATTCTAAATTCTTTGTTTCATTTCAACAGTCTTCACGGTGTCTTCATCAGGAGCAGATTTCATCTCAAGAAACCACCTTCTCTGCTCATCCATAAGGAGCGTTTCCTCGTCCGTTCAAATTTCATCCTGAGATTGCAGTTCAGTCCCATCTTCAGGCCCCGTCTAATCGTCTAATTCTAGTTCTCTTGCTATTTCCACCACGTCTGAAGTTATTTCCCCCACTAAAGCCTTAAACTCCCCAAAGTTATCCATGAGGGATGGAATCAACTTCTTCTAAACCCCTGTTAAGGTTGATATTTTCACATCCTCCCATGAATCATGAATGTTCCTAATGGCATCTAAAATGATGAATTCCTTTCAGAAGGTTTTCAGTTGACTTTGCCTAGATTCATCAGAGGAATCAACTGTAGCCTTAGAAAATGTATTTCTGAAATAATAAGACTCAAAAGTCAAAATCATTCTGGATCCCTGGGCTGCAGGGTGGATGTGGTATCAGCAGGCATGAAAACAACATTCATCTCCTGCACGTCTCCATCAGAGCTCTTGGGTGACCATGAGCAGGAATTGTTCTGAAAAGAATCTTTCTGAGCAATAGGTCTCAAGAGTGGGCTTAGAATGGTCGGTAAACCACGCTGTGAACACAGGTGCTGTCATCCAGGCTTTGTTGTTCCATGGATGGAGCACAGGCAGAGGAGATTTAGCCTCATTCTTAACGGCCCTGGGATTTTCAGATGGCACCTGGGCACTGGCTTCAACATTAGCCCCTAACAAGGGGGTCAGCCTGTCCTTGGAAGCTTTGAAGCCAGGCACGGACTTCTCCTCTCCACTGGTGAAAGTCCTAGATGGCATCTTCTTCCAACAGAAGGCCGTTCTATCTGCACTGAAAATCTGTTGCTTAGTGCAGCCTCCTTCATCAGTGGTCTCCGCTGGGTCTTCTGGGGAACTTGCCGCAGCGTCTCCACCAGCACCTGCTGCTTCACCTTCGCTTTTACATTACAGAAACGGCTTCTTTCCTTCAACCTCATGAATGAACTTCTGCTGGTTTCCAACCTTTCTTCTCTCTGAAGAAAGTGGAGAGAGGCAGCTTCCTCGCCTCTCCAGCCTTCACGGACCTGAAGGGAGTTAAGGCCTCAGTCTAGACGAGGCTGTGGCTTCAGGGCGTGTCATGGCTGGTTTGATGTTCTACCTAAACCACTGAAATTTTCTGTCTCTGCAGTAAGGCTGTTTTACTTTCTTATCATTTGTGTGCACTGGAGTCGCACTTCTAATCTCCTTCAAGAACTTGTCCTTTGCATTCACAACTAGGCTAACCATTTGGTGTGAGAAGCCTAGCTTTTGGCCTGTCTCGGCTTCTGACATGCCTTCCTCACCAAGCTTAATCATTTCTAGCTTTTGATTTAAAGTGAGGGACCTGTAACTCTTCCTTTCAATGAAACATGTAAAGGACATTGTAAGGTTGCTAACTGGGCAGATTTCAATATTGTTCTGTCTGAAGGAACAGGGAGGCTGAGGAGAGGAGAGACGGGAACGCTAGGTCAGGGGAGCTGTCAGATCACAATTAAGTTTGGTGTCTCACGTGGGCAGCTATGGTGCTCCAAAACAATTGCAGCAGGAACATCAGAGATCACCGATGACAGATCACCATAGGCGATAGAAATGAAAAGTTTGGACGACTGTAAGGATTGCCAAAATGTGACAGAGACATGAAGTGGGCAGGAGCTGTTGGGAAAATGGTGCCAATCGACTTGCTAAAGGCAGACTTGCCACGAATTCAATTTGTGAAAAATGCAGTATCTTTGAGTGCAATAAAGTGAAATGAGTAAAATGCCTGTGTATAGCAACCAGTTTGAGGACTACTTCACGGCACACTGGTAGCTGATGGTACTTAGAAGCTGCCGGTTTTGACAGAGCTCACCTGTGAAGTGGTGATGGCTGGCTCGCCGGGGCCCAGGACCTGTGCGTGGCTGGGAGCTCCCTGTGGGGGTCTTTCGTGGGCTCCAGGACCTGCGGAGTGTGAGTTGCAGTTCGGTGGACAAACATGGCCAGGACAGATTGTGCTCCTGGGGACTGGGCACCTTCCCCTAGAAAATCAGTGACGTGGGAAACGGCTGTATTAGTTGTGAGTGACGTCAGCGAGTGTGGTTCTCAGCAGTCCTGTGAGAGGCAATGCTACTCTTCCATTTATATTTTTAAAAAGAATAACCTGGTGGGGCTTTTAAGCTTTGGGGATAAAATAAACCAGAAAAACAAACAACTTTTCTTGATAAGACCGATACATACCCCAGGTCTTCCTCCCTGGAACTCTGCCTGGTGTTGAGAGGTTGAAAGAGAATGGCCTGCACCACACCCAATGACCGTTCAGCTTCCCTCCTTCCTGAAAAGCTTCCACGGCATTTGGCGAGACTCCACGTGCTATCCCATCCTTTCACTCAGTGAAAATGAATGAAAATGGCCAGGTGCGGCAGCTCACGCCTACAATCCCAGCACTTTGGGAGACCGAGGCAGGTGGATCTCCTGAGGTCCGGAGTTCGAGACCAGCCTGGCCAACGTGGTGAAACTCCGGCTCTACGAAAAATACAAAAATTAGCCGGGCGTGGTGGTGGAAACCTGTAATCCCAGCTACTCGGGAGGCTGAGGCAGGAGACTCACTTGGACCTGGGAGGCAGAGGTTGCAGTGAGCCAAGATCGCACCACTGCTCTCCAGTCTAGGTGACAGAGCGAAACTCCATCTCAAAAAAAAAAAAAAAAGAAAAAAAGAAAAATCAAAAACCTAGTTGTAAAATGTAAACTTGAAGGCACCTGTAGTATTGTACCATAGACTGTTTCTCACAGATTAATTCTGGTGGAGTTATAAACGTTGTTAGAATCAAAACGAAGGCACTTGTGTTAGAAAAACAAACGGAAAGCCCTGATGGATGGAACCAGCGAAGGCCATGAAGGGAGGTTCCCACGTACATCTAATAACAAAAAATATGACAGAAGACTCTGCAAAACTCAAAATCTTGCCGGGCGCGGTGGCTCAAGCCTGTAATCCCAGCACTTTGGGAGGCCGAGACGGGCGGATCAGGAGGTCAGGAGATCGAGACCATCCTGGCTAACACGGTGAAACCCCGTCTCTACTAAAAAATACAAAAAACTAGCCGGGCGCGGTGGCGGGCGCCTGTAGTCCCAGCTACTCGGGAGGCTGAGGCAGGAGAATGGCGGGAACCCGGGAGGCGGAGCTTGCAGTGAGCTGAGATCCGGCCACTGCACTCCAGCCTGGGCGGCAGAGCGAGACTCCGTCTCAAAAAAAAAAAAAAAAAAAAAAAAAAAAAAAAAACTCAAAATCTTGCACAAAGACCAGCACAACCTGACACAAAAAATACTTCTGCAAGGACGTCTGCCCAGCAACTGCCTATCTAGCCTCGGACCAGCATCACCCTCGCTATTGATCTTTGTAGCCCGGGATAATTCTTTCAAAATAATTCTGTCATCCTCCTAATTTTCCCTTTAAAACCCTTTGTCTTCCTGTACCTGAATATGCACGCAATTTACTGTGGTATGTGTATTCCCATTTCAATGCTTTATTCTTGGATAAGTTACTTCTTCTTTGAGTGACCCTCTCTCTGCTCCTTAGCCTGATACATATGGTGTCAGAAATGGGACCAGAAAAATATCACCATCGGAAGAAATCATTTTTTATTCCCATTTTTTGGAACCATTGTGCAGTATTTACTTCAGCTCTTTGAGCTCTTCACTTCCACAACTTGATTTTTCACCCTGGTGAGTCCTTTCTCAGGCTGAGCCTTTCTCTTTGTGTTGGAGACTTTTTGATGCTACTCAGAATGTGACTTGGATGAGGCTGCCTTGATGAAGGACCGCACATCCGGCCCGAGATGATAAACAGGCTTTTTGTCTTCTCTGCGAAGTCCTTGCTGGTGCAAAGGCATAAATCTCTCTGGGCTGAATGCTCTGATTTGTACAGAATTAACATTCTCTCTGTAAGGCATGTCTTTACTTGTGAATTCACTTTTGATCTGCATGCCTAGTTTAATATTTTGTTCTATCAGGACACCTAGGTTAAAATTTTTGTGAACACTCTTACCTTGGTTCCTTTTGACTTGATTCGAGTCTTTCCCCTTGATGGTTTTTTTAAATGTTCTGAGAACAAAAATAAACATTCTAAATGATGGGTGCAGAATGGCTAACTAAAGGCCACTAGGGCAGCCGCCGCCATCTCAAACACGGCCTGAACTCCTGACATTCCCTGGCTGGATTTGTAGATTTTCTTTGCTCTCAAGAGATTAATAAGAATTGAATGAGATTCTAAAACATTAAAGTATGCCAGGTGTGCTGGGATTCCAGCCAGCTACATGTAGTGGCCCATTCTCACGCACATTTTTTAAGTGATCGGCAAAATGACACCAAGGAAAGTCCAGAGCTCAATGGCAATTATTTGAACTCTCTAAAAACGCAACCCTTTCGAAAAAACAACCTTGCAGCAACAGAGTTAGCATGGAGTCTTCGAAGGTCTCTATCTCTCCTCCCACCCTTTTTTCTTTTTTGCCTATTTTGAATTTTCTGACTCTTCTGCTGGTGTTGAGATGAAACTCACTGCTTATGGCATTCTAGCCAAGATTTTTTTCAAAGTCTTAAAGGGCTTTCAAATTAACGGCATTAGAAATTACAACAGCTCCATGGTAACCAACAACCTAGACACCTTTTAGAGACATCAGTTTAGGTTTGACTAACAATTGCTTACGGTGATGGAGCACTTAATTGAAAAATTAATAATCTAAAAGAAAAAGAACTACATAAATATTTATAATGTTTATAAAAGTTAGGCTCTCAAATTACAGAGGTCAAAAGCTGGAACTCAGAGCAATAATGTAAGGTATCTCTGTCCAGCATAAAAATTGTATTACTTTTTCTGCCATGCAGAGTCCAAAAAGAAAAAGCCAAAAACAAAATAAAACCAAAACCCTGCTCCAATGCTTCCTGCCCACATCTCTAACCAACCAAACAAGACCAGCAACCAAAAGACATTTGCTGCTAGTTCAAGGCTACCTGGAGATTCTTATACAATGCAGTCAATCCTAACTAAAATGTTTTTCCTTTTATAGACAGATACAGATACAGATACAGATACAGGGTCTTGCTCTGTTGCCCAGCCTGGAGTACAGTGGTGGGACTACAGACATGCACCACCAGACATGACGAATTCTGTTGTCATTGTTTTGTAGAGAGGGGTTTTACTCTGTTGCCCAGGCTGGTCTAGAACTCCTGAGCTCAAGTAATTCACCTGTCTCAGACTCCAAAAGTGCTGGGATTACAGACATAAGCCACCATGCCTGGCCCACCTAGCTAAAATGTAAACAATTGAAAATTTAGCCCTAACCTCATTTGAAAATGAGAAACAAAAAACAAACAAAAACGAGGTGGGTGGGGGTAGAAATGGCGTTTTTTATTTTTATTTTTAAACTGCATGGAAACTGTTTACCCAAAATTTTGGTCCAGAGCCTTCATGAGATTTCCTATCAGAGTAAATAGCACAAAACTAAAAATCTTGGTCCCCTATTGTATTCGTTCATTCTTGCACTGCTATAAAGATACTACCCGAGACTGGGTAATTGATAAAGAAATAAGGTTTAAGTGACTCACACTTCCTCATGGCTGGAGAGGCCTCAGGAAACTTACAGTCATGGCAGAGGGGAAGACGCATGTCTTACATGGTGGCAGGCGAGACAGAGCAAGCAAGAGCAGTGAAACTGCCTGACAAAACCCTCAGATCTCCTGAGAAGTCACTCACTATCACAAGAATAGCATGGGGAAAACTGCCCCCATGATCCAATCACCTCCCACCAGGTCCCTCCCTCAACATGTGGGATTATAGGGATTACAATTGGAGTGGAGATTTGGGTGGGGACACAGAGCCAAACCATATCACCTATGTTAGAACAACAAGGTTTTCTTAAAGTATTGATTTGCCCTTAGGAAAACTGCAAGAGGTTTGGTGTTTAATCCTGAAATCTGTTTCTTTTTTTCCCCCCATTTTTTGTAGAGATGGGGGGTCTTCCTATGTTGCCCAGGGTAGTCTCGAACTCCTGGGCTCAAGTAATCCTCCTGCCTTGGCCTCTCAGAGTGCTGGGATTACAGGCATGAACCTCTGGCCTGGCCAGCTTTTCCTGATGTGTCTGGATTATTCTGTGTAACCAAGAAAATTCCTGTGCTGTTACTAGGAGTCATGTAATTCCCTGCTCCAGGCACTCCTTTTCTTGTTTACAGTCCTCTATAATAAAGTGAACACTCGTAACCCTGGACGCACTCTTCCTGTGTCTAATTAAATTCAAGTACCCTTCTCTTCAGGTTTGACTTCTGAGCTATCTAAGGAGAAGCAATCACACAGCAGGAGGTTTTTCTTTACTTTTGGTAACTGGCCTAAACACAAGACATTTTTACATTTAATCAAGCTAGATTTGTTTCTTATTAAGTTTTTGATTACTCAGGAAAACTGAGCTTTAAATGGGTTAAGGCTTTTACATTCATGTAATTTTCCGTACTTGCTTTTGAAGTATTTTAACTATCACTCTGCTTAAATGAATGGTTAATATTTTACATGACTTGTAGTGTTTTTTTTTTTTTGAGACAAGAGTCTCACTCTGTTGCCCAGGCTGGAGTGCAATGGTGTGATCTCAGCTCACTGCAACTGCCACCTTCCAGATTCAGGCGATTCTCCTGCCTCAGTCTCCCCAGTAGCTGGGATTACAGGCACCCGCCACCACACCTGGCTAATTTCTGTACTTTTAGTAGAGACAGGGTTTCACCATGTTGGCCAGGCTGGTCTCAAACTCCTGACCCCAAGTGATCCACCTGCCTCAACCTCCCAAAGTGCTGGAATTACAGGCATGAGCCACCGCACCTGGCCCTGTGATTCTGTTTTGATCAAGTGTTTTAAACTTTTTTGACATATTTGGTAAGTTTCCCAAATACCAGAATACCAAATTAAGTCTTTTTGACCTAGAACTAACTTTTGGATTTTCTAGTTGTGCTCCTGCAGAGACTCACATATCTCTCATCTTCTTGAGACATTAAATAATTAGGC